GCTACGATTTCGTAGCCTTCTCCCAAGTGGAGGAACTTCTTAACTCCTCAAATTTCAAGTGCAAGAAGGACAAGGCAGTATCGCCAACCGTACAAGCATACGGGTCCTTGAACTTGTTAGCATTTGGTTCTTTAGCCGCCTGATCAGCGTCTAGGTTTTCAGCCTCTCTTTCAACAGCTTGAGGAGCGGCCCCAAATTCGAAGGACAACACTATGTCCAACTCAGCAGCTTCGGCCAAGCTCCCTCCCCTGGAGCCCTGGCCGCCTCTAAAAACGACGATGCCTTTAGGCACCAAGGGCCCCTTGACCTTATCTTTCTTTCCCCTAGCGTTCGCCTGGTTTCCAGAAGGAGGAGCGCTGTGAGGGGGCAGGTCGGCCGGTTCAGAAATATGGATGACAGTTCTAGGCTTGGTCGACCTGATAGTTTGGATTGGGGGTCGTTGAGGATTTCGGCAGACGCCCCAGCGTCCGCCTGAAAAGAGGAAAGATGCCTTCTAGAATATAGCAGCTCGGACGGCATCATGACCGAGCTGGCGAATTGAGGGAAGCGTAGTTCCGAATTTTTCCCGGACACACCCATGGTAGAAGAAGTGCCTGGCTGATGTGGACGCTCTTCAAAGGATGTGGTCACTTCGACCACATAGCATTCACTACCGCTAACAACGGTTATATTTGTGGTCTCCTCGTCCGTATTACTCAGATTATAGGGGACTAAGGGGTCCACCATACTCCCATCAGGGTTTCTAGGGACGTCTCGTTCGTACGTTTGTCTCGTACTCGCCATGTTCGACTGTAGGGACAGAGAAGAATAGCTGGGAGTGAGTTAGTATGCACTAGAAATGGACCCACTCCATAGAGAGGAGGACTCGTCCCCGTTCACTCTAGACTCCTCAGTCACAGGAGAACGGTCGGCCTCATGACGAGAAATGGACGAAGTCGAGTGTTGAGCCTGTTCGTATTATAAGAACAAAAACAAGTTAAAGAAAAAGGGAAGAAATAAAGAAGAGCAGGCGGTTACCTCCGCACGTGTAGAAAATGTTAAAAGTCTTTGAAAGTCTTGATGGTTGACCGGAAAATTCACAAATCTGACTGAAAACCTCAAACTCACGGCTGAGCTCTCGAAGATTTGAAGGAAGATTACTTTTTCTCTCTAAAGGGCTCTTACATCTCTCTAAAATTCTCAAATTTCCAAAGTGCTAAATGAAGTCAAACACCTTCTATTTATAGGCCGAATTTATGGGGGCAAAAAGGTAAAACCATCTTTCCCGCCCAAGAATTTGAACGGTAACTTTTTGAAAAAGTTTAAACAGTTAAATAACCGCTCCGTCATCTAAGACGGGAAGAGATACGGACATTCTAACGGCGCGTCAAAATAGACGTCCAGGTCAGCGGAATTCGAACCGCCACTTTGAAAAATACAGCTGACAGATGTTCCCTCGAAAGAAATCAGGCGAACCAAACAAGGCATCTAGCCCAAAGGAGAGATCCCCCTGATAGAAGGTCGTTACTGTCCGCTCTCTATAAACCAAACAAGGCGTCCAGCCCAAAGGAGAGATTTATCTAATAAACGGACGTAACTGTCCGCCCTCTATAAGTGAAGAGTGCTTAAAAAACCTAAGTACTTGGATGTATCCAGGCAAGTAGAAGATCAGAGGAAGCGGCCCGTATGGTACGAGTCACCACCTCTGAGGGGCAAATGTTTGAGGTAAAAATACCCCAACACGTGGTCCAATCCCATTGTGACACATGGCCCATTCAAAGGGCGACACGTGTCCTTGTAGGAAGATGACACGTGCCAAGAAACATAAAGAGCGCCTAAAATGAGAGCAAAGGGCCTCCTTACATCAGGAGGCCCAAATCCCGAGAGAGCCGCAAAACGCGCCCCTATTTGGACACACACCTTCTCCTGATTGCGCCATCAATCAGAGCACGGAATTTTAGGCCACTAACCCTAAAGGGGCACACTTTCCTACCCCTATAAATACCCCAATCATTTATGATGGGAGGGGTGGATTGGGACATCATTCTAAGAGCATTGAATGCTCCAACTTCTCTCCACTTTCTTTCTCTACATTTATTTCGCTCTCTGATCACTAACTTGATCGTCGGAGGCGAATATTTCGTATATCAAAATATTCGTTATTTTGTAGGCGTCGAAGACCGTCCTGCTACATTCACGACCAGTATCCCGAGGGATTCCAAAAAGCCCCGAAACAGTAACCATGCCCCATGACATGATCAAATTTAAATATTTTCAGTTTGTCAAGCATGAATGCCCGCCTGCTTTCTGGGACATGGTGAAAATAGGCTGCAAATTGTTCTTGTTGGGAGGAGGAGGAGGCCCATCCCTCACCTCTCTCTACAAAGAGGGACTCTCTCGTTGCCTCCAGTTGTGAGAACTCTTCTTCAAAGCGCTCAGATATTCTATCAGAATAAGATAACCCTAATTCGCCGTCATAACTATCGGACCTAATGTCCGAATGAGACACCTGATGAACAGAGTCAGAAGCATTGCTCCTTGACTCCTCCCCAGACTCGTTTAAAATTGAGTCCCCAAGAGTACTCGGGGAACCTGGCGGCAGGTTGGATATCTCACTTACAGGCGCCCTAAGGGAGCCGTCTGAATTTTGCTGCTTGACCGTTCTTTTTTATCTGGCCATAGTGTCCTGCACAAACACAGAGACGGTCGGATTCGAGGAAGTTCGCAAGGGGGAGTCCAAGAAGGGGCATCCGGCACTCCTAGTTCTAGACTCAGCCGTCACCGGTGACCGATTGTTCGCTATCCTAGGCCGTGTCGTGCGTGTTTGTGAAACCATTTTCAAAGTAAAGAAATAAAGCTGAAAATAAAGAGAAAGAGAGAGAGAAAAATAGGCGGTTACCTTTATAACGAGGGTACTGAAGATGCTTGGAAGTCTTGGCCGACTGTGGTAAAGGTGATCAAGGTGCAAGCGGCAGATGTTTTTCTCAGAAAAGTCAAATTCTCTCTCAAACTTTTTCGTAAACATGCGAAAATGAGGGGGGGTAAATGGCTATATATAGAGGGTAAAAATTTTGGGGAGCAAACCCCCAAAGATTACTCTAAAAGGTGAATAGTAAAAAACTTGTCACCAGTGCATGCGTGACACTTGTCATAGGCGCCACGTGGCACGCCATGTCACCCCTGTGAGGGGCAAATGATTTGGGTAATTTTACCCCCGCCATGTGGACCAATGAGAACGTGAGATGTGTCACCCTAGGGAGAGCCCAAAGTGAACCTATTAGGGAATGACACGTGGCATTCGGATATTCATCAAGGAATGACGCCCTTCAGGGCCCAATTCCCGAGAGAGTCGCCTTACGGCGCAACCCATCCAATCTAGGTCAGAATGACCTAGACAAGGGCATAATTACCAATGACCTTATAAATAGGGGGATTTACCCCATTTTAGGGGCACGTTCATTTATTACATCGCAATCAATTCTCTTACAACAGAGAAAACACTTGATCTCGGGATCCGAGAAGATATTTACTTTCTGCTTTTTACTCCGAACACGTACTAACTTGATCGATGGAGGCGAAACTGTGACCATCTGGAGCTTCTGTTATCTTGCAGGTACAACCGGCGGGGAACCAGACTTGACGTAACTCTCCCGCGAGACATCCAAAACCCCGAACACAAGACATTCTTTATATTGTACTTCGGTAAATTTTAAAATTCAATTTTATCTCGGTGTAGAATACATGCATTTGGTTATTTGTCTTTTTTCATAATTTCATTAAATTAGGATATTAGTTGGTGTTATGATGATTTATTGAAATTGATGTGTTGTTTGGTTGAATTTGTATTAATTTGTGTCATTAAATTTCGATTTATTTTGCCAAACATATTACATCTGTTGCAATTTATCATGATCATATCACTACAAAATAAGTCAGAAAAAAGTAATTAGGGAGCACGAGCTAAGTATAATAAAGTAATTAAATAAGTTAGAGAAGATTAAAAAAAAAAAGGGTGAAAATTGGTTTATTTACACTTTATCGGCAAAATCTTCGTCCTCCAATGTCATTTATGACATTTTCTGCACTAAACTTAATAGTTTGTGGATGTAGTGTGCACCCGATTAAGGTTGTGCTATTTTCTGCACCCAACCCATAGTTGGTGCTATTAAGGCCAATTTTGCCTGAAAAATAAAATCATATTACCTCCTTCCTATATCGTTTTGTCATTTTTCAATTTAATTTGGGTCAGTAAAAAAATTGTTTTTACTAATGTTCCATATACTTTGATAATTTAGAGGGTTCCAGATTAAGGGCTTAAGAGGTTGATGAAGTCAAAAATAGGGATTAATGGTTAAGGTTGAAAATGGAAAATTGATCAATTATCTATTTGAAGGTAAGATTGAGCATTGATAAAGATTGAAGATGAAGCTTTTTTCTTTTGGTATTGCTTGGAAAATATAATGTAATTTCTCGTTGCTAAGTAAATCTTAATAAAATAATTTGTTTAATCTTACCTTTTATCTCATAATACTAAACAACTTGCTAATAAATTGTTAAATTAAAAATAGTGTTGACGACTTAGATTAAGGGGGAGCCTCAGTTTCTCTTCTTGAGGGCATGAATTGTAAATAAAAGCAACTTTATCAATATTTTATTTATTTTTTGGGTGCTGACTCACCCCTCTCTCTCCTTCCCTTCTTTCTCCTACTTCCTTCTTCTAGCTTCTCGTGGCTTCTCAACATAACAATGGTGAAATCTTTACTAAGATTTTAGACAACAAACCAACACCACGGTATAGACCAACCCCAACCCACCATCTCGACAGCCATTTCCGCCGGTTTTCGGCGGCATTCTACGAAAACCCTAAGAAAAAGTGGAGAAATAAAGGGCATTGTTTGCCCTACATGGTAAGTGTTTTCGTTTTTTCATTTAACCTCAAAAGCTACTTCAATGGTGGAGAAAAAGGTGCTTCAATGGAGGAGAGAAGCTGCTTCAATAGTACCACTAGAGAGTACAGTAAATTGTGTAAAAGACCCCATGAGATACATTTCATGTTTATCAAGAGAAACATGAAATTACCCCTTAGATTAATCAACTAACATGTCACTGGCGAGGCTATTTTTTGTTAACATAGTCAACTATACCCAAACATAATCAACCGTAATTGATAACTACAACATAATCGACTATAACCGATGACTAAGCTAGAATTTATACGGGAGAGGGGAAAATAACCCCTTGCTTGAAGCCTCCTCTTTCTTTGCTCGTAATCGTGCTCAGCTAACTTTTATTATCAACAAACTATCTTTGGCTGTTGATTTCATCAACCTCGTCATCAAAGATCGAAGTTTTCCATGTATGCAATGGCATCACATAGACATGCCCTCATTAAAACGGGTAAGAGTTGTTAGTCACAAGTTTCCAGGTAGTATCTTTCTCGGACTTGGCAGAAAAAAGACTCACTAATCAATATATGAGGAAACCTTGTCGTAAAATGTAACAGCTATACATAAACAAATGTTAAGGCTCACTCGGTTACTCCCTTCCCCCTTTGGTAGCAATCAGCAAATTTACAGCCTATTGATGTTGCTCATAGATACGTACTCTCATGCTCCAAAATACTGAGAAATACAAACATCTCCAGTGATACACGATGAAGCATGAAGAACCTGTTTCTGAGCAAAAAATGTCTCAAGGGTACCGCCGTGCCCTAATCAGAAGTACAACATGAGCTGGGCAACTCCACTGACAATTAATACCCATTTGATTTGTGGCTTGATTTGTAGCATTATGCAAGTTTGCAATTGCTATTATGAATTGCTTCCATACACACCGAGAAAACATAGTGCCGAGCTCTTGATGTTCAGGAGTTGACAGTACCTATCATACTGCTAAGAGTCTGGGAATCAGTTTGTCTCACCGACTATGCAATGCAGCAGGCGATGCAAATCATCATCACAAGGCTTGGCATGTCTTAGGTCCTGTGAAGTGGTGCAGGGTATATGTCCAGTGGTTGGTAACGTAACTGCTCGTTATGAGGCAAAGGACCATCCTTCAAAAAATAAAAACGTAATTTAGTAAACATAATCAAGAGATGAAGAAATGAGAACAAGCTTACACCCACATGTAGCAAACTAGAATATCGACTTAATATGTCAATTCAAAGCAGGAAATTTACATGAACCACAACATTTCAAAATTATGTCCAAATTTTTCAGACACAATACACTAGATCACATTTCTTAGATATGTTTGATAACCAATGTTCAAGAAAAAAAAAAAAATCCATGTAAACTAGGTACAAGTATTGCTAATGCCATTTCATATTATCCTCTACCACTCTTTCAACAGCTTGGCTGTAAGCACACAATCAAACCCTGAATTTTGGATCCATCCTTACTCACCCTTACCAGATTGTATAGTGTCCCTTTATATCCCTTTCATTCTGGTCATACTTAGATTATACCAACTTCATTAATTATATTCATCACTACAAAGGACCATGGAGAGGTTAAACGAGGGAGAGGGAGACCGAAAATGACTTGGTTGGAAGAAGTTAGGAAGGATATGAAGCATATGGATTTGCATGAGAATGAGGTATTTGATCGCAAGGGATGGAGTAGGAAGATTTTTGTGGATGACTACAAGAAATAATCACTTTTGGTTCACGTAACCAACCCCATTTATGGGATTAAGGCTATGATTGATTGATTGATCATTACAAGGGAACAATTGACAAAATTGGTGCTTCCAAATGCTAGATAAAAAGTATATACAAGGTATTTGTCTTACAGCTATCTACATCCCTTTCAACCTTGCACTTAATTTAGTTGTTTATTGTTCAGTATTTTCATACATTCTTTTGACATTATTTTATACTAACATATAAAAACATATGCAGTATTCAATGTAATTAGACTTATCGCATGTATGATCTCAACATATTAACATTTCATAATTTACAGAGCTAAATTTTTCCCAGCAAGTATCTTTTATATAAGAGCTAACGGAGGCATTAAGCTACTAGGTTACATTATTAAATAATAGAGAGGGTGATCAAAAATGAGAATGAGGAAGTGTATACATTTCTAAGAAAACCAAATGGTCTAATGATAGATGTACCACGAAAAAGGAAAAAAAAACAAAAAAACAAAAAACAAAAGAAGGCTGATCACTTTGTCTCAATTTTTAAATTGTTTCAATTCCCAAAATTGATCAGCTAGTTATGAACAATGCAATTAGCAAAAGACATTCAAGTACAATCACAATATTCACGATCTTGTCCGTCTCTATCTGCAACTTACACAAGAAGACTGCTTGTAAACCAAAGATACCCATCCATCTTTGACTGACATTCAATTATTATCCCCGTTTTGTTTTGTTTCAAATAACATGGTTATAAATATCATATGTGGTCACAACAACGGTCGCAAGACCACTTTTGTGGGCAATGCAGGTGGCATGAGGTTGTAACTGATGCGGGTGGAAGTAACTTAGTGGAGGAAGTTGAAGAAGTTCCACGTGTGTCTCGTGACACGTAGTCGTGCTAAGCTCCTTTGGTGGTCACCTCTTGGGATAGACCATCATCAAACTCGAGTGATCTTTTTACTTGCTTAGAATAAAGCTCCAAGGGTTCTAAGTATTGACTAAGAGATAAAAAATGATTTGTAGAAAGAAAAGGCTTGTGCTTGATAAAAACAGGCATTACTCAACTTCAATCAGCCATATCTTCTTCACTACAAGGAATTTTCAAGCAATTCAAATGGGAGATGAAAGTAGAGTCCGAGAGCTTTCCAATGGTCATATGCCCAATTTGAGTAAGAAACGAAGAAGTCGTGAGCAATCAAAATTGAGCTGCAGAACCGCTGGAGCAACTTTCCTGAGTGACCGATCCATCTTGATTTGGAATTTTTGGCATAAGCTTTGGAGTGTCCACTTCGACCCTCTGTAGTGGTTTTTCTTCTATCTTTAGTTGCTTTTTTGTTTTTAATCTTTGTCAATCATCTTGTAATCATAGGACTGTAAGTTTTAGAGTTGTAAAGCTTGTTGTTTTGAAAAACTTTTGCCTAATTTTGAATCTAGTGAGATTTTCTGTCTCTCTACCCATAGTCTTTGTTGAGCCTTTGTAATTATTGAGAACTTCGTGATTGCATCCCCTAATATTTGCTCTACTTTTTGTTAAACTTAGATAAAACCCTTAATGCATTAAACTTGATGATCAATGTGATAAGAGACTAAGAGTTTACCTTTATTGTTTTCTGTCTTTGCCACTTTAAGTTTGAAGCTTTGATTGGAAATTTGGGTTTTTGGATTATTTCATATCAGTAACTACCTAACATTTTGGCCACTGTAAACTCAAAATCCTGAACAATGTGGACGCAATGTGGTAATGTGAGATGTGACAAAGATTTAATACCATGCCCAAGAAGCAAAAAATGATGATTTTTTTTTTTATTAATAGTGAAAATGATTAAGCAGATTGTCATTCGTTTGAAGTGTATTGGGTTCTATATTTTAACTGTTTTTGGGTTATTTGTAAGATCATTGGATGTTATAGAAGAACAATAGTAAGGAGATACAACGTTTTCTTTAAGAAAAAGGAAATTCAATTTGGGAAAACTAATATAGAAACTATGACCATCACAACATCAAAACAATAGGGGTGCTAAGATAAGACATAAAAGATATATATGCAAAGCATCAAATAATATGAAAAGCACAATCTTTTATAGTATTGCATCAGAAAAGCATATAACATAAAACATAACAGTTAAACTTGAGAGGAAACAGGAAATAAACATGGAATAAAAAGTAAAAAAAAAATATTACCTCATCTAAATTAATTTGGAATGGTTGTACAAAATCTTCAAACATTATTGGAGAGAGTTTGTTCATTCTATCCTCAACATCCTGGATGACAGAAGATAAAGATATTAAAGGCAGTGAGCCTTCATGATTAGTATAAGACTGTAAGAATAAGATATTTTGATGACTCAATCATTACTCACTCATCACTGTAGTAAAACTACTTTAAAAAAGCCAAGAAAGAGGAGTAGGGGGGATACAACAGTGAATAGTTAGGACCCTATTAAAGGTTCCCCTCTTTTCAATCCACAAAACTAACATACCAAAAATAAAGTGGAATTATATTTATCGTGGAAATTATATTTTCATTTCCATGGTGATCCTGTGTTTTGCTTAACATGAATTTGTGACCTATAGCAAATTACATCAAAATTCCATTAAGTAATTTAATTTTTTGGGAAACTCTAGATGCTAACCTCCAGTTTTGCAGAATTTCTTATCGTGGAAGTTTCAAAACACAAAAAGTCAAAAAAAAAAAAGAAATAGACAAATAAAAAATTTCCTCAATGAACTCTTTCTCTTTCCCCCTCCCTCTCACTTCTTTTTCAACCCCCTTCCTCTGCTATGTTGGACTTCTGATGAATAGCAATAATCTAAGATGGTATATGATGGCATCAATGGTGACAGTAAGGTGTGTTGAGTATTGGGTTGGCTGGTTGGGTGGTGGCCAGTAATCAAAATTAAGGTCACTATGGAAACCAAAAAAAAATAAAAAAATTTCCACCAATCTAAGATTTTTCCCAAAAGTAAACAGTTACTGATGTATTTTATCACTTGAATTTAAGGGAACGACCAATGCTCAATAAAGCCTACAAAAGCGCGCCAGGCTGTCGGACATTGTAGGAACCCGTTGGAATTTAATAGATGATTTTACAAGTTAAGTTTGTTTTTCTAAGAAAGTATTAGTTGTATTTAAGATTTTAAGAAACTCAAAAACCTTTCAAACATCAGATTTTATAGAAACAAGTAAAACTTACTAATCCGGTGATTCTGGATTTTTCCAGCAGCTCCCTGGAAATCGCATCAAGTATATGTCTATTTTCCTTCAAGCCCTTCATTGCCAGTTCTTCAGTCTCTTCAATGTACTGTCAAATAGGTCCAATTATATGAGAGTATGAAAAGTGAATAAACATGTCAATAATGAACAAACATCAAGTTAGGAAAATTCAAACTACAAGAGAGAATACACTTATACACCCTCCTCTACTCCATCAATGACTCCCCTTATAGCCACATAATATTAAGGTGGAACTTCTTTTGGCTTTGTGAAGTGGACCCTTTCTCTCTTCATGATGGTTGTCAACAAGCCCATGTATATAACACCATGTATTCATTTACTTTTTTAATCTTCCTACTTATAGTTTATTCATTCTTGGCAAATGAAATTCTCTTTGTTAACTCTCCTTATCCCACTACATTATCCCTTTTTATCTATATATACTTCATCCGTTTCTTTATAGATGCATCACTTTCCTTTTATATTAATAAATTCTCTCCATCTCTCTCATATCACATGGGTCCTCTTTTTTCTCTCTCTCTATCTCTCTCATCTCCAAAAATTGTCTAGGTGTCCGTGTTTTTGCAAATGATGCATCTAAAAAAGATGGAGGAAGTCTATAAGGATGACATTTTTCCTCTTTCAATCTATGCATTTCATTTTGTTCTTATAGAAGCCGAAAAATTCTCGCAGCCCTTCCACAACTGTTCCTCTTAAAAAAAATCTCATTGTTAACCCTCCTAAACCATGGAAAAGGTCAAAATTAACTTTATTCCTTTATAATCATTCAATTACAAAAGGTCTAATCCTGCATCAAATTTAATTTCCCTAAGTTTAAAAATCAGAAAAATAAATTTAACACGCCTTATATCACTTCACAAGATACAATTTCCCGTTCAATTTGTACAACTAGGCTCTTACTATATAATAATATCAATGTGTCTAGACAACTCTCTCTCCTACTAGCAAAGTAAAAAAAAAAAAAAAAAAAAGGGGGGGGGGGGTCCACTAACTCTTTATTTTCTTGGTTTCTATTCCCACAATAAGTAGAAAGATAAAAACAATAGTGGGAGTATTTTATTGATTTAACCCCTAACTAATTGCACATGAACTAAGTTAAAATAACTTATATAGTTGTCTCTCTATGTTCAATAAAAGTTTCCCTTATACATACAAACGTGAATTTAACTTTAAAGTTCACATGCCCATATATGGATCAAAACATAGTTTTAAATTTTGAAAATATAGATATACTACATATGGATCTTATTTATATATCATTTCACAAGTTTTTCTAATGGTATATAGATACACCACCAAGTTATATTTGATTTCACAAAACATAGTTATTTGTAATGATTTATAGAAAATCATTTTTCTTATTGAAGTCTTCAAAATCATCAAACTCTTTTATTACATTATTAATTTCTATATGAAATTATTCCATCTGTCTCTATATGTCCTTAATTTGACAGTAATTTTTATGAGAAAATCACTGCTCAACCTAAAAACTGTTAGAAACAAAGGGAGTAATACTGTAACATGACATGCTTATGTGGGCTATCTAGACTCTTGAAAAATTACTCTAACATTCAACATTTTTTAATTATCGTAATGTTAGGTTTGTGCACATACAAATATGTAGCATAGATTTTTTTGGTAGATAAGTAAAAAGTAGTCATAAAAATTTAATTAAAGAAGAAATAGTTTGTGGTGGAGTCCATATCAGATGAAATGTGAAGAAATAGAGTAAGATACTCCCTCTATTTTTTAATACTTGCTCCGATACTCCCTCAGTTTTTTAATACTTGCTCCATTTCTCCTGGGCACGTATGCTGATGCTAATCTTTGATCTATAATATCTTTAATTATCAATAAGTATAAATTCTAACAATTAAAAATTGATAATCTATTCATTGAGACGATTCCAACAAGTACCCACAAGACTATTTTTTTTTTCTTATGTATAAATCACAAACATTAGTCAAAGTAGGACAAATGAATAGTGCAAAAAGTAGAAATGGAGCAAGTTTTTAAAAACATAGGGAGTAATAATTAGTGGTAGGGGTCACATCACATAGTTGGAGTGAGTTAGGTAAGGATAATTATTTGAGTACCAACCAAGATAGTATACAAGACAATTATTAGAGGACGGAGGTTATATAAAGTAACACCATCGAGAACATATACAGAGTATTTTTGTATTGTTAAAAAAATAGCGTAAAAGTCAATGATATTAATTAGAACGAGCTTTGTATTATATTAATAGTATTAAGAACTTTTATAGAGAAAAATGAATAAATACCCTTGTCAATTCTCGAGTGAAGAGTTCAGATACTTCAAGCGTCATCTCTGCAGGAATTACATGTGGATCATCCCACTATCAAATAGTACAGTGAGTCAGTAAAATTGAAAATGACAATAAATTACAGATTTCAAAATTATAAAAATAAAATAAAAGTATACAAAAGTATAAAAACTTTAAAGAAAGCAAACCTTGTATCGTAACAATTCACCATCTGGATTATCTGGATGGTCCATAAGACCAATTTTTTTTGTTAATGCTGTTAATCCTAACCTAGCATTTCTCGGGCTAATAACCATCTCCCTAGCAATCTGAACAAAGCAATTCATACGAATAAATAAAAATTAGTAAACATATATTGAAGCAATAGAATAGAACATAAGCACTTAACCACGCATAAAGGAGATTAACAAATGGGGAAAGGGGGAGCACAAGCAACATCAAACTTATCAAGCGTTTAGGAGAATCAGGCAAAGGAACAGGGAGCACACAAGCAGGATTGTGTGTAAGGAAGGCAGAAAATGAAAAATATAATATCATCATGAAGATTCCAACAGGAAGTTGCAGCATAAAAAATTAAAAAAAAATAAAATCAAAAACTTTTCAAAATATTATATTAGAGACATGCCTTCTAGTTTCTAATATTTTTAGGAAAACCAAATCCGCCAGAGGAAAAGACGGATAGGGAGCAGAGGGACAGGGAGTGAGTACAAGGGGGCTGGGCAGGAAAGAACATGGAAGACTGAAAAATGTAAAATTTTGAGATCACGTAAGATGGTCACAACAAAAGGGAGGAAACAAAGGAAGAATTTGGGAGGTAAATCCCTCTTAGTTAAAAGACATTAGTCACATCATCTTTGTTTTTTTGTTTTTTTTAATTGAAGTATATTATAAGATACCATACCAAACCATCACTACACCTAAATAACAATCTGTAAACTATAACCTTCGTGATCTTTTCTAGATCATCTTTTCCTCCATCAGTTACATCATCACCATATACTATACGCTCAGCACATCGGCCTCCATGAGCCACAATCATTTGCATCATCATGTAACCAAATGTTGTGTATCCTTGGTCCACCATATCTTCCCTTGGATAAAAGACAGATATAGCTGTTTCCTGTCCATGTTCAGAGATATTAGATCAGATACTAAGAATCACAAAGATCAAAATTTCACCCAAATAACTTATTCAAGCTCCTACCTTACCACCGGGCAATAGCTGAGAAAAAGCATGCCAATCAAATCTTGGAAATAGATGAGCTAATACTACATGACCAGCTTCATGCACAGCTAGCAGACTCTTTTTGTCAAGTGATACCTATGATACAACATGTCAGCTTTTAACCAAGAAAACCATCTACTGGTAATAGCTCGACAACATGCTAAAACTTACACTTTGTTCACATTTTTGTTGCTCCTCCTCGGTGAGCAACACACCCATACCCTCCAGTAATTGCTTGTCTAAGACATCAACAATGTCTTGTTGGGAAATCATAGAATGCCCTTTCCTCACCTGCATTCCATTTTGTCAGTGATTGAACTGAAAGGCTAATATAAAAGTCTAAAAGCTGCATACACAAGAGATATTCAGATGCGCGCACACTCAGAGGGAATACGACTGAAGACAGACACACGGAGAAAGAAAGAATATGAAATTGCTAATAAGCCACCCTCATTACCAAGATGATGTGTCTTGAGTTCTTGATTCATATCTCTGGCCATAAGATGAATCATTATAAAAAGAGCTTTTTTATTTATAAGAATCAATCAATTAATATGATGTATATCTTTCCTTATAACTTACTCTGTTTTTTATTGTTTGTCCCATTTGGAACCTTAAGAAAACCCATAGAAAATGGAAATAACAATTTATCGATTTTTTGCACTTCAAAACGTAGTCATGTGGGATCTTGTTAAATTTATCTCGGTTTTTAGTTTTCAAATACGTAATAACTGTTTTTTTTCTAATTATGTTAGTTTCTAAAATTTTACCACAATAATTTAGAATCTTCCCAAAAAAAAATGCTTTAGAAGGAAATTCTGAAAATTAAGATATAAATATAGTAAACATTAGTCACCATATTTGCATTATTCCAAAAATAAAAAAATTACATGGGAGAATAATATCAAATCAAGTAAAATACTACTAATATTACCATGTAAAGGAATATTAACCCCTATGCATTATTATGGTAGAGGCTAATTATTAATGAAATTTTTCTTCCCCTTGGAAAGACAAAAAAAAAAGAAAAAAAAAATTAAAAACAAAAACAAAAACTATGCATTTATGAAATTTCATATAAGATCATACAAGAAGGCCTCTAAACTTTAAAATTACGTTTGAAAGGTTGTAAAGAAGACACTGAAGCTGTAATAGTAATTATGTAATATCAAAGTTGTAGCAACAGTTGGGCGAAAAACACCTTTAATATACAAACGCACGCATCGCGTGCATTTAAGACTAATAAAGAATAATATCCATATAACTATAGTGGTACTATTAATATTCTTCCTCCATTAATTTTTATTTGTCCCCATTTAGAATCTTCAATTTTAGGAGAGAAACTTTAGATATAGAGTATGGACAATTTTTAATAAATATAAAAACAAACATATTCATGTGGAATCTTGTTAGATTAATCTTGGTACAAAATTTATAAATGTAAAATTTTTATTTGAAGGGATTGATATTCAAATATGTGCATCAGAAACTATGTAAAAAATACAAATGGGACAAACAAAAAGGAAATGAGAGAATATTATTTGACATTTAATATACCTATTAAATTAGTGGAACTTATTAGAGCTTATTAGACATGGTTGGACCCAATTGGAAGGAAACACACACATCTATATAAAACCCACCCTTATTGTTGCTACTCTGAAACTAAACTTGATTTCGCTATGTAATTTGAACTGAAATCTTAAGAAGACAAGTTTAAGAACACATTAACACATGCTTAGTTATATAGGAACTCCAAGACTTTGTGCTACTAAAATTAACTTGTAGGAAATGGAGTAAAAATCAATGCAATGAAACATAAATATGAAGTGATATGATCACCACATGCATAAAATAAATAAATAGTTAATAACTTACAGACATAATTCCTGCTTCATTGACAAGATTGCGGATATCAGCCCCAGAATAGCCAACGGTGCGAAAGACAAGCTGTAGAATGAAATTAAATCAGAGGTATACCAGTACCCACAATTTAGACAGCTAGGCAATGAAATAATACCACAGGTGAAAATGATATATAGATCTTTTCTGTAGGATAAAAATAAGTATAAGTAGTTTAAAGTGGTACTCACTCTGTTCTTTATTTTACTTTCGTATTTATTATTCATATAACATGAAGTACTAAGTTGAAAGTGGGTTCCTTTTTTTACTTTTAACATAGGACAGAGAAATTTGTTGAGAAACATTGGTATATAATAGGAAAAATGGAAATAAATAGTCCCACCTCTCGAATGTTCCAAAACAATCCCACCTTTGACGACCGGTTATCTTAAGTTATATGCCACGTGTCGATTTTTAATAGGGTTTTTTTTCAATAATTAAAAAAAATAGTTTTATTTTAAAAAAATCAAAGCCACCCATTCCCCACCCCTGCGCCACCTCCGGCTTGAACGGCCACCGCTTCCCCTCCACATCCACATCCCCGCCCCTGCCTTCCCTGACAACCCCAACCCCGTCTCTTTCTTCCCCTTAGCCATGAACTAATGTCTTACGGGTTCAATCAGATCAGACAGCGAAAAGGGAAAAGGGGAGATGAGGTGGGGGTTGGGGGTGGTGTTTTCCGGTTTTGAAGGTGGGTGTTTCGGGGGATTTTGTAGTGAGGGTGGGTGTTTCGGGGTTGGTGTTTTGGGCAGAGACTAGGGTTTTCAGGTGTGGGCAGGGGAGTTTTCGGGGATAGGGGTAGGGTTTTCAGGGTCGGGGTTGGGTCTCCGGGTAGTTAGGTGGTTTTCCGGCGTCGGAGAGGGTTTTTTCGGGGTCAGGGTTGGGATTTCGAGTTCTTATTAGGGGTTTTTCTAGCATGGCAGGGGGTTTCGTGGTGGTTGGGGGAGGTTTCGGGGTTAGTGGTTGTGGAGCTAGGTGTTAAGGGGGTTTCGGGGTTGGCTGTGATTCCATTTCAGGCGGCAGTGGGTGGGGCTGTGGTGGTTATGGTGGTAGGTAGCCATGGAAGGGGGTTGGGAGGTGGAAGGAAAAAAAAAACACATTTTAACCTGTTTAATTTAAAGATCCATGTCAAAGGTGGGATTGTTTTGGAATAATCGAGAGGTGGGATTGTTTTGGGAATACCGAGCAAAGGTGTGATTATTTATTTCCATTTTTTATTTACAATATAGTTTGATGTAGACCATTTGGTGGGTTATGAAGTGATAAAAGTGGAAATATTCTTTACTATAAAAGGAATAAAGCAAAAGTAAGAAGATTAAAAAAATAAATAAATAAATAAAAAGAACTTATCAAAACGAAATTAAAAAAAAAAATTAAGACTGAGTATAATGGATACGACAAACCACAAAGGTAAATTCAGATCCACTCAATAAAATTTGCATCAAAAAAATACTCCCTCCATTTTTAAATACTTGCTCCATTTCTCCATGCGCGGAGTTTTAGGAAAAATTAGAGAAAGTAATAAAATATGGAGGTAGTGGGGTGGGTGGAAGAATAAAAAATTGTATAAAGCAAAAGTAGTGGAAGAATTGGAGGAGAGAGAATATGAAATTAATAAAATATGATTTATGTTGGGTCCACTAGATGAGAGAAAGTAATTAAATATTGTAAAAGCTTTCCAAATAAGGAAATGGAGCAAGTATTTAAAAACGACCGAAAATAGAAAGTGAAGCAAGTATTTAAAAACGGAGGGAGTAACATCAAAAGCAATATATTTGCCACATCCTTTGCATAATCCCAACAAAGCTAGTTCACATTTGAAAAGTTACACCCATTATCTGAAACAGCTTAGCATTATTAACATCACACAATGAATTCAACTTGTAAAATCAACAAATTTCACTACTGGTTGTTGAAGCTTGCTTGATACTAAACTGACTCATCCTGGTCGTAACTTAATGAATCTCAGAAATTCACTTACCTTTCCAAAGTCAACATCTTCAGCCAGCTGCTTCCCTGAACTATGCACCCCAAAGATTTGCACACGCTGCTTTGCATCAGGCAATCCAATGTACAAACGACGGTCTATTCGTCCAGCACGAACAAATTCTATGTCTAATTCATCTGGCCTGTTAGTTGCGCAGATGAAAATAACTGCTTGTCTAAGAGAGAACCGGTCAACCCCAGTCTTCACTTTGCTGCAAAACATAAAACAAATAGTTACATACATTATATGAATAAAACAAGACATATTCCAAGTGCTGCTGCCTGTTTTTAGTTCTTTTCAGATAAAATTTTAGAATTTCATCTAATCAGTGAAAAAGAATCACAATTAACTAATATTTATTGGAGTTGATACACTCATAATATTGCAACTGCCAGAACCAAATCAAAACCTTCATGAAGAAAAATGAGCCCACACGAAGTTGTTCAAAACCATGAATCTGCCTCACATACAAATTACCCAAGTTTTAATGTTATGGTGTTACCTACGTCTCTAACCCATGCATGTTGGGTACTATGTGCACGCGGAAACTTGGCAGAGGCCTACTTAAGTTTCCTAGCTATATAAGAAAATCATGTGCAGTCGTGCAGAGCGTACAAGCAACAAGCTGTAGGAAGTTTAACAGTATCACGACGAGTAAAAAACCATCGGGGGGGGTATTGTGTAATGCACCTGGATACCCCTGCAGTGGTCCTCACATATTCTAGGAAGAGGAGAGGCACCAAAGCAAGTGGCAACGGTCTCACAGCAGGACCAGAGCAGTCAAAACAACAACAGACCTCACTCAAGAGAACCACTGACCTGGCAGCAGCAGAGAATGAGCAAATGACAGAAGCACTAGAAGACAAACGAAGCAGGCACTAGAATTATCTTTGGGATGTGTGATGTAAATATAAAAAAGGAAGAGAGCACTGAGATAGGCAGGCAATTTGTGAGTGAATTTTGGTAGAGACTGGTAGCCTAAAGTTACCCTAGGAGAGTTGTCGGCTAAACCCACTATTTGTAAGAAACCTTTTGGCTTGAAATTGAATCAAAAATCCATCTTTCTTCCCCAAATTGGCTTGTGTGTGTTAGATTATTTGTAACTGGCTTGAATCTATTACATATTGACAATCATAAACCTTCACACCAAACTTAATTTTCATTAGCACTTAAGCCAGCAAGGATAACCTTTTAGTCAGACTATTAATTTACATCAACGGACACCCCTATTTATTGTCTCCTTGATGTATACAAATTGGACACTAGTAAAATATCCGCTAGACAACCAGAATTTCTCACTTTTGCCAACTAGTGACTGGACACACTCAAAGTCGCAAATTCTGCAGACAGCTTATTGTCTTGACACCAAATTTAATATTCTTTAGCACTTTAGCAAACTAGTGACTAATAAGAGAGTATTGAACATTCTGGCCATACAAATGTCAGACGACTCGGACCGAGAGAAACCAACAAAAAGCATCAATGTGATAGTTGAGAAAGGAAATGGACAACTAGAAAATAATGAGCCTTTGGCCCTATAGACAATATTTTTCTTGCTAGTAACACTGGAAGGAGGCAACTCGAAGAGAATCTTACTAATTAAGCTTGGAAATAGCCTACTTGAGAATGCAGTTGAGTTCACGACTAAGATGTCAATAAGGGGGGTATTTCTACCAGATGATGCAAAAAACTAGGATGTCATACTGTTTCTATACACAAGGTTATTCGAAATTAGTTGTTTATTAAGCTGAGCTGTTTGGGAGAGTATAATTACAAACTCGAGAATTGTATAGAGCACAATATTTATAACCATGTTGGACATCATACGTTTCCAACAATGATGTATCACAGACCGATGAAAACCTGCTCAGGTACTCAAAGCACACTCAAGTATCAATTAATAAGTTCGATCAATTGTTGAAAGGAGAAGTAACATTTAAAGTGCGAGAGGAGGACTTTTACACAGAGGTGGGAGAGAGGACTTTAACAAATCAAAGATATTAATAGTCAAACCAATGTTTGAATATAGCTAGTGTGTTGCTTAGAAATAAAAAAAAAAATGAGTAAAACTAACGCACTAATGAGAGTCTCATCAACATTATATTGACTCTCTTGCCCGTACCCATTAGGCACACTCAAAGATGCAAATCTTGCACAAGACTAGCACTCGTTTGGCCAATAGATAAGAGGATGTCACACATTACAATCAAAGTCGGATGATGATTAATGTTGCTTCTAATATAGTATTGATTATTATAGATAAGATTAAAATAAAAACTATTACATCAAATTTTATAAGAAATGTAAACTTTAACTTTATTATCTCAAAATCTATAACAATATTAACCTACGGCACCCCACAGCCCAAATAAGCTACTAAAAGAGTTTTTCTTCAATCTAAATAAATCTGGGACTTAGTTGCATATAGATTGAGAAAAAAGGGATGCTTGGGACACTCAATGAATTTTGCTCGACACCCGGATTTGAAATGGGGAACAAGGATTTGTAGTCCTCCACTTTACCACTCGGCAATGCTGCCAAAACGATACAAAATTCACTATACTTAAGTAGTTCCTTTAGGGGGTAGATTACTGCACTTCTTTTTTCATTTGTTGGACTTGAATCGATATTCAAAATCATTCCATTCAGAATATTTAATTCTATTGAAGAATCGGATTTCTAAATTCTCATAGGGACCTCCTGTTCTAGAGCTTGTTGTATAATTTTTACTGATTCAAACATTTCACCGATTCGTATTTAAAAAAACATAAGCTAATGAATCTCCTTTTTTCCATTGGACTTCCCAATCAAATTCGTCGTAACATTCATAATGATCAACTTTATGAAGGTCCCATTGTATCCCGGAAGCTTGCGGATCATCCATGTAATATACAAAGAGAAACTCCAGATATATGATCTTTCATCCCCACTATAAGGCAACATACATAAGGGTTTTATTTAAAAGGGGAAATAAAGGAAAGGGAAAGAAAATAAGTCCCCTGATGCTCATAAATGTTGTTTCGTTGGCCTTTTTCCGGTCCTTTTCATTTTAAGCTCCTTCCAAACTCCTCAAAACTTATTCCCTCGCCCCCTCCCACCAAATACTTGATTGACTTGGAATCCTCGATCTTTCCTCGCCCCTCCCCCCCACCCCCCACACACACCAGATAAGTCCCCTGATGCTCATAAATGTTGTTGGGTTGGCCTTTTCCGGTCCTTTTCATTTTAAGCTCTTTCCAAACTCCTCAAAACTTATTCCCTCGCCACCCCTCCCCTAATACTTAATTGACTTGGAATCCTCGATCTTTCCTCCCCCCCCCCCCCCCACCACCAATAAAGTCCAAGATTCAACATAACTTACCCAACTTTTGACCCAACATCATGTTTTCCATGCCTCAACCAACCTAAGCACACATGGCCACAAAGCACCAATACCAACATTTCCATCACAAACTTCCTTAGCACCACCACCGATCCAACAACATGTAGCCTAACCATTTTAATCAATTACACCACCAACTATAACCTTTCTCTACCTTAGATCAACCACCACAACCACCTTCCTCCTCCCAATCACCGCAAATCACAAGGTTTTTACAGCCACCGAACTAACTTCCAACCAGAACACTTCATAAGCAGCCACCTCTAAACAAGCCGCCACCAAAACCACTATTTAAAACCAAAACAACCACTTCTATAACCTACCGCAAGTCTCTAACCCCACAACAGCACATGTGTGTGTGTGTATGTGCGCGTGTGTGTGTGAGAGAGAGAGAGAGAGAACAAGATTAAAAAAAAAAAATTTAACTTACCACACCACCGAAATTTTAAGACGTCAGTGTTATGGATTGGTATAATTGGTCTTCAATTGAACCACCCAAGGTCAAATCATAGACCTTGGCCAGTGGTAGTGAAGAAGGTAATTGAAAGCAGTAGGGGTAGCGTTTAAAGGTGTACGGTGACATGAGAGCTAAGGAGGATGGGGTGGGGAAAAGACCGAAAAGAGAGAGGCTGATGAAGGAGTTTCTTAAACAATATACTCAAAAGAGAATTGTGAACTCACTATGCACCCAACCAGAGTAGGGAATTGAGGGTAGGTTTATTTCTTTTCTTTCCTATCTCTTTATAAATCCCTTGGCTCTCATACGGAGAATATGTTGGGATATACATTTGTAGCAATCATATGGAATACATGATCAGAAAGGAATGATGACAGTTTCTTAAAGCTTCTACACATTGAATCAATTGTGTGTCAGGTGGTTTATCCACGACCTGTATGACTTGCGCCCTGTGAATTTTAGAGGCATCCCCCTACCCCCTAAAGATTCGACATAGTCAGAAAACCCGAAGGCAATTGCAACCTTATTTTTAACAAGCCCAAAGAGTATATTTTTCAAAAGTATGCCAGTTTGTTTACAGGAACAGTATTTAGCTCAGCAACAAAGAAATTTGATAATGCAGTAGAAGCAAGCAAAAAATCAGTGCCTTACTCTCCATCCAGCTGAGAAATTAAGGCCTCAAATGTAGCTCTTCTTCGAGGATCATTCCTAGCATGCCTTCCTGCTATGGCATCAATTTCATCAATGAAAACAAATGACGGAGCCTACCAAAAAAAAAAAAGAAAAAGAAAAATTGACATTCAATTCATCAACTAATTACAAGATTTGAATTCAAAAATACATAGCAGGCATTTAATGTCTTACCAGGAAAAAAAAAATTTAAAAATAGACAAAAACAAAAACAAAACAAAATCTAGCTACTGCAAGGAGCTTTAAAAAAATATATATATATAAAAATAAAAAAAATAAAAAGCAAACATAGATACACATACACAATAGTAAGCCTGTGCTACGTAGGCTGTATTCTACTAATTTAGACTCATGTTGCATAGGACATTGTAGTTTAATTTACATCCAACAAATGCACCATCAATTAGTGTACTTTACACAAAGTTTCTTTTGAAGAAGAGGGAAAAAAAAGTTTGCTATGGAAAGAAAAGTATAAAACTCACTTTGCAATGGAAAATGACAAGAAGTCCTCTACAAAATAGGGAAGAACATTGCATTTAATTACACCGTACATCAAAAAGTGATGAATCACGAAAGGTTGCTAGGGCATGAGACCACATAAGACACCAAAGATATGGCTCTATCAGACTAAGAAACACTGTAAGAGGGCATGACGTGCAACTCCCTGTTGTCCCACACACCCACTTCAACCCCAACACCACTGAATGGCTAAACATGGATAACAAGTAACAACTCAACTGTTGCAACCTTGTATCTATCGTAATGTCATTAAGAACCAAGCAAATCTTTCTTTAAGAAAATAAGAAAATGTAACCAACAAGAGTGACAATTACATTTCTTCGTGCTATTGAAAATATTTCGTTGATCCTTGCAGCGCCACTTTTCTCACTGTCGGTAAACTCTGCACCTGAAGCGAACACAAAAGGCAAACCACTTTCCTTTGATAGTGTTCTAGCAAATAGTGTTTTGCCAGTACCTGGAGGTCCTGAAAGAAGAATACCCTGCCACAGAAACATGAAAAATCACTTATACATCATCCGCACATGATATAAGATAATAAAATCACAAGTTTCATCGTAAAAGACTAAAATCCAGAACAAGCTGGAAATATTGCCAAAATTGAAATAGCTAATACAAAAGTCAACTAACTACTAATTATGAACAAGAGTATTACCCTCACAAATTGCACCTCCCTTTCAAAGAACTGCATAGGGTTTCTCATGTAAACCATAATTTCATCGAGAAGATCCCAAACATCACCCCCTAATATTACTTCTTTGTACATTGACTTCGTTTTAACATCTTCACCGACAGGCTACAAAAGGATCAGATGGAATCAGATAATGAACTAACCTCCTAGACAGAATATCAGAACACTTTATTACCAGGATCCAAATAATTACCAAAATAAAATTCTCTGCATATGCCATGTCAAACAGCTGGTTATACTTCTTATAGAGAAAACGGCTGGAAGCAATATGCAGAAGCATCAATGACTCTCTCATAAACCACAAAACCAGAATTCCAGGTAACAACGCAATTAAAACTTTCAGAAAATAATGGATTTGCCGTTTCTGAAGTAGATCCACCTCAACCCCAGAATTTGATATTGTCTCAAACAAGTACGGATCAAGAGGGATGTCAACCTAACAAACATGAGGAAAAGATTAATTATAAAGAGGTATTTAATAATTTATTTATCCAGCCCATATAGGAAATGTGTGCATATATGTCACTTACGATGTATTCCAATGGGAAACCTTCCTTCATTGTTACATACAGCCTCTTTAGATCTTCGGTGAAGACAACAGCTGCAACCTGCCAAAGGTATACAGAAGCTCAAAAATGTTCTCATTCTGATTGGAAACCTTCCAATAAAAAGATTTCCTATCATCCATACCACAGACAATTGTTTTAAGAAGGAAGGAAACACATTGGCTACAGCAAGGATGGAGCAACAGACATGACATGATTGTGAATTCTTCTACATATTAAAATATTGATGGAGGAAACGATTAGGCACAAATTTAAGAATTCAACCAAAATACTCCATAGGTAGCACTGAGCAATCTGACGTTTAAACAATTCAACAATATAGGCTCTCAGATATTCTTTAACTACCAGCAAATCGGCAAGACAAAAGCACAATACAACAAAAAAGGAACACTGAGTCTACCTCTGAGCTATTGAGCTTTTCAAGAAAATAAGTGTATGGTAGTTTAGGTCGATATCGCCACCAACGCTTAGATATCCACAAAGCCCTGGCTCCTTGTGCATCTGATGCCTTTTCTACAACATCTTTTCGAAGACTGTCCTCAACTTCTTTCATGTCAAATTCAACTGAATATCTAGCATTCAAAGGGCTAATTTCCTCTGCTAACTTCTCCTTTTCCAGAATTTCTGTCCATGCCTTGAGCCTTTCACGCCATGATCCTCTAAGCTCTTGCGTATGAGCTGCAATGTGATAGAGAAAGAAGGGTTGCAAGGTTAGACAATGAAAATTAGTAACACTTCCAGAAAGGAGAAATAATTTTAGCCAATGTATCTAGTATATAATTGAGGAATTTGAAATACGATAATGTAGCTCCGTACAAAAAGTCCAATCTCTAACGAAAAAATTGTTCAGCTTGGTTTCCTTAGAGAAATATTAAGAGCTAGCTATCATTACCTAGCTTCTAAAATACATAAAGCACCATCTGGTTCACCTATAGGAATTGGTACAAACACTGTACAATATCAAATAAAACCAGACCAAATGTTTGGCTGGTTTCTTCTCTGTTGATCAGCTATATGGGTTGGAAAGTCCTCTAGGTTATACTGCCCACCTCCAATCAACATCAAAATGATAACTATAAAATCATAAAGTCTAAAAAGAAAACTTATAAAAATTTTATCAATTATTGAGCGAGCCATCTAACACTAATTCTAGAACTCATCCACCCGCCTCTATTTCTTCTTCCCATCTCACTCCAACCACCTTCATCCACAACCACAATCACAACCATTACTTCCACCTCTAGTGGCTCCTTCCATCCTACAAAAAGAGAATCAACATGACTAAAAGGGAATGGTTTAGCAGCAATTCAGTGGCATTGGCAATCAATATTCCGACGACCATCAATGGTTTAAGTGAGAGTTTCTAATTGCAAACTTGTTCAAAGATTTGTTAAAATTAGTTGATTCACCTTCATTGTTCCTAATCTAACCTCCTTAAGCATGAGCAGAGATAACAGGAATTCTGGCCCTAAATTTTTAGAAAATGAGAGATAGAGGAGTCTGGGTTCCAAGTATCATACATTCCATATCCTTGTGTTTTTAAGTCAAACCCGGATCAAACAGGACATAAGAGTTAACACAGGATACAGGCAATCATGCATTGTCAAGCTATACAAATTCACTTTATGAAACATGCAGCACAATTGTCAAGCTATACACAGGATACATGCAATCATGCACTGTCAAGCTATACAAATTCACTTTATGAAACATGCAGCACAATTTGATAAAGCATCAAGTGGAGGAAGACAGAGCCTGATAAAATAGATTGACCATGATGTCTGCTTCTGACACAATGTTTAGTGAAGAAGTCATTTTTACCCATTAAAAACTTGTATCCTACCTTTACAACACACTAAGCCTAGTGATGTATCTTATGCCCTTCCTCCTACATGATAAATGATGAATTCAGCCAGAGTTTCAGTTACCAACTTTGAAACTTTAATTAACAAAATAAAGGTTATTTACTAACCTGACACCCCAATCTCACTTTGAACTTCCTTCTTCGCTTCTGCACTTAAACTTGCATCACTGTTGATTATTCCTTTCACATTTTCCATAGGGTGTTCACAATCATCATCCCATGCATCTTCTCCAACATACGAACTATCATGAATAAGAGTCCCATTGGGTCCTTCAATAAATTTCTTCATTTTCAGTCCTTTCGGCATAGTATTTCTCCACATTCCCTTCTTCAACCTGCACTTACAAAAGAGTTCCATGTTGTTTAGCAACATCTCAAAGTTACCAAGCACCAAACCCGAGTGGCCCACACTTACTACTTGGATGAAAAACATATATAAGTATATCACTTAAGAGTAAACCTTTTAATAAAGCAAACTTTAAAACTCCACAACTACCTCTATCTCTCATTTCACATTCTAAAGCCCGTCCTCTTGTAAGCATATTACAGTAGTTAGTAGCATCTTCTGCAGTGCTAGCCAGCTCTTTGTTTTATGGCCCTCAAACAGATTTTTTTTTTTAATTAAGTTTATACAAGAAACTTTTGATTTAAGTAATTCTTTTCCTTATAAATGGAATGGATTTTCCAACTAATGTACAAATAGTTCTTTCATATTCTTGGGAGTTGGAACCTATTCTCATCCTCATGTTGTAAATTAATTTCTCTTGGAAGAGAAATTGAAGTAATAAATTTAACATGCTTGCTGCTAGCTGGAGTCCTAAATTCATTTAACATCACATAAATCTTCGTCTACACTATGACACCAACTGCATAGTCCTCCATTTGTGACAGATTTACTGTCACGAAGGACTTTCGATATTGAAGAAGCTTAACTATAATCTAAATACTAGCACTAATAAAGGCAGTATTAATTTTGTTATTGTAGATAATTATTCAGTGTGTTTGGAAAATTAAAATTATAATGAAACTAAGTATTTAAATTTATGAAATTCAAAATTTTTTAGAATATTTATTTTATTTAAAGGGATAACAATTGGAAAGATAATATATTTAAAAAAATTTAAAAGCTTATTATATTTTACATACTTTGTATTTCTTTAAAATTTACTCCATATCAAATTTATTTTTTTGAAGAATTGGGTTTGGGTAGATTAGCCTAATTAGCTGACAATTTAGACGGAGGCATTGCAGCTGTAACATACCTCCTGACATTACTTGGCGTGGGATCAGGAATTAATGCCTCCATATATGCTTCCGTCAACTCTTTCTTCTCTTGTGCAATACGAGGAGCTTGAAGACCCATGTAAATTTTCCGAGAAGACACTATGATAGCAAGCAAATAGAGCAACAGGGCACCAAAACGTTTAGGTTCCCAGCTCTTTACATCCTGGAGAATGAGATGTTAGCCATACCAGTCTAGAAATTTTAGGAAACATATAAATCCTTGGTACAGATGCAAATCATCAGTTTCATGTGTCCTACATCCCATAAAACAGAAAGAACAAAACATGGATCTCAAATCATTAGCTTGGTCTAGAGATGATCAATACTTGAACAAGCTAAAACAAAATTTTCATAAAGAAACTATAAGAATATACACAATTAGATTTTAACATAATTACACAGAATGGCTCAAGCAAATTTATTCAATGCAACAAAGGAACTGTTGAGTCCATATATTTCTCATACAATAAGCAATGGAATTGTAAGAATTTGCATCAAAAACAGCGTTAATTCAGCTTACCGGCATTTTCTTCTACTTCTAATCAACTAGGGTGAGATAATGATATCTTTACTTGAAAAGCAAACTTCTTCATACAATACACTACTATAAAACCTCAACTTATACACATTTTAGAACAAGATTAAATATAGAATTATTTCATGAGAAACTCTATTGTGCACTTGAATACATCAGAACTAAGACTTTTCACCCGAGTATTTCCTGTAGGTGCACCTAAGAATGTTCGGTATTTCCTAGGGAAGGGTAGTGTTCATTAAACCTGTCTTTTACAAACACAACTTAAAGTGAATTCACCCTTTCAACAGCACCAGCAATAAAATACTTTCATTGATCTCTAAAATTTCAATGACATAGAGTTCAGACCTCTCCATCCTAACAATTATGCTTTCATCTCTTCAAAAGTCATTTTCTCAACAAATATGTATCAACTTCCACAATAGAACACCAAATTTAAGCACAAAAGAAGTATAGCAAATATAAAATTCTATATATATAAAAAAAATCTTACTTTCCAATTGCCCCATTTGTTCCAATTGATGAATTCAGGAACCAATTCAAACCTAAAACGATTAAACCCAGCTCCAAAATAACTCACAGCACCATCAACCCGGCTCGAAACTTGAGAAATGAATTTCTGGGCATCCCCAGAATCAATGCCAGTCTCCTTCATCACTGACTCGCCAAATTTAGTCAAAAATCGGTCCGAACCGCGGCGAATGGAGCCCGAAAGCTTATCCCAGGAGAACCCATTTGAATTCCCAGAAGCAGAAGCGATGAATAAAGGTCTGGGGCGGGAAGATTTGAATTTTTTGCGGCGGCATGGTAATGGTGGAGGGGATAAGTGCTTCAAGAATACTGTGGTTTGGAAATTGGAGATGAGAATTGTTGAAGACATGAAAATTTTCTGAAAAGTGTCAAGTGTTTGTTAGTTTTGTCAAGGATATTATTTGAAAAAAAATAAGTAGATAAATTAACATAAACAAGGAAGGAAAATGGTAAGAAATTTTTTGTTTAGCAAATAGCAATTGCCATTGTGGAGCACATGAAGAGCTCGGGTTTATGAGATTATCAGATAGGGAGTGTAGATGTAGAGGTTTAGCAAAATCAAAAACATTGAAGACTGCGGTTTGGGCGAGAAATGCTAGCCCACTACCAGGAGCAACAATACCGGGTAATCGACAAAGAAACTCTAACCACTTGAGCTATCCCTCACTCTCTGACTTTGTGCACTATACAAATAAGTTACTTTGACATTGTTTTGTGATTTAGTATTAAATAAATACATAGTCATGTGGGAAGTTGATAGATTCATACCAATGTCTATTTTCCAAATATCAAAATTTCATAATTTTTTGCTAATATGTAACTAAAGATATTTACATTTGAAACTATGCGTTGGAAAACATGCCTAAATGAAATGTGTCAACTAATAAAAAATAGAGAAACTATTATATAGTAATTTTAAAAAGGAGAAAGGAATATTAAAAAAAAAAAAAAAAAAAAAAAAAAAAAGAGTGGGCACTTACCTTTCATGCGAAACCCGTAATATCCTAGCCGACTATCGATCGAAAAACCAGTAATATTAGCACACTAAGCTAGTGAGTTCAGATCTATCTCTCTTGAATTTGCAAGCTTTTATAGAGATAAGCTTGTAACACCCCAATAATTCTCTTTAAAAGGAAATCTGTAAAAACCTGTGATAACCTGTGAAGCCTGTATAACCTGTAAAACCTGTATAACCTGTAAGACCTGTATAACCTGTAAGAGAATTATTGGAGTGCTACCGCCACGTGTTCAAACGTTAAGGCTAGTTTCAGAAATCAGCAGCGGAGAACTAACTTAGTTTTAAAAAGAATATAAGTTTCAAAACTGGAAGTCAAAACTCAAAGTCTTACAAGTTGGAACCATAACGGCCCTTATTCAAAATCCAGTAAAATAGGAAGTAATGGAACCAACACCAAAATAAAATTCAATCTGTGTTATGAAATTAGCTAACTGGTTAACCAACTCTCCACTCAAATCCCATCACCCTGATGCAAGACAGTTTATGCAAAAACCTGTGATGAATCTGCTCCCCAATATTACAAGTGTAATAATTGGATCATTACAGGGTCATTGAAGGCGAAGGCCATGACCAAAGAAAGACACACAAGAGCACGCAATCAGCAACGCTGAGCACATTCAAGTTACGAAATATAGTAAAGAGTTCTAGCATGATACTAACAAGCATTCCATACACTCACAATATTATCATTGACTCGAACACATGACTCCATAGTTACTCATTACTAAGTTTTTGTTAAATAACATTGATCATTTCATTAATTGATTAGATTAAGCAATAGACCGGGTTGTCCCCCTGTGCTCCATTCCGGAACATTAAATAAGAAAACCCTATGCCTCCTTTCGGAAGACATTAATAAACATCCAATGGCAAACGGGCGCGACTCCGTGGCCATAGCTAGTATGAGATCTCATCTAACTCATTATAATTTTAAAAGAATTTAAAACAAGAGACTCGTAGATCAGACGGCCTCTAAAAAGTGCACGGCTAATACCCCGTGAACCCCAACCCATGTTTGTCATTACTCTAGATGTGCACAAATCCAGAGTTTTATTGTTCATTCTTCTTGCACTTTACGTGATTTACCAGTTTAAAATTTGGTGATGACTCATATGCAAACAACTCAACCAATCATACATCAATTAATCAAATCATTCAAGTTTCCAATTAAATTCTCAATTTATCAGTGACAAACAACATTTATTATTGCATCATTTAACTACCTCGGTGTATAAACACCTTAAGTGCATAAGGCACCACAAATTCTCAACTTTGTTTTATAAGACTTTAATTCTTCCTTTACTCATTCTATTTCAATATAAACGAACAAGTAATCAAAATAATTCATCATATCTTAGCCTCTAAGCTCACTTTGAACATTATTGCATAAATACTGCTCATAAGGAAAAATCAATGCACATTTCTCAAGCATGACTTAAACTAACCATCACATTCATCATCAAACAACTCATTACCAAACAATTCCAACCAAACCACAAGTTCCCTAGCATGATTCTAGATTTTTCCAAGTCCCTAAACATGCTCCTAAAATCAAGGTTCCTCGTATTCTTGTACGTACCTCGAGTAAACAAATTGATTGGCCACCTTAAAGCTAGAAGTCACCTTCTACGAAGTCCTCTCCTAAACAAAACAACAGTAGTTCAATCAATCACCCAAGCAATATATTTTATAGCAATACCAACTACTTTAAAATCCTTTAAATCATTGAAATAATGCTCTTAAATTATTCCCAATAGCCAAAGTTAATAATTAGTACTTGAACTATGAGTTTATATACTAAAATCATAAAAGTATAGCTTATAGCATAAAATTTCAGCACTTTAAAGTAACATTATAAATTTGAAAATTTAGTTTAAAATTATAAAACAACTGCATAAACGTTTTCATTTGAAATAATCGTTATATAGTACGTTAGTATTGTAGGGTTTCGTAGTGACCCGACACTACGCGGAAGGAAACCCACCAAGACCCGCCCCTTAATTAAAGCAATCAAACAAGCATAATAAACTTAATCAAACAAGATTAAGAACAAGAATTATACCTTTGACGCGTGCTTCGCTCCCAAAGAGCTCTTACTTCAAAATCCCGAAAAGACGAGATCTCCGATGGATCGTACCCTCGACCCGACCCGAGCGTCCTAAGTCTTGAAGGTTAGTCAAGACCCGGACAAAATAACTATGAGTTTTACGAATCAAAGGTTTACTCTTTTCTTAGAGTTGCCTTTTTAATTCCACTCAAGGTTGTTCATTTCCCAATACCCAAGCTTGGTATTTATAGGGAAATGAACCCTTGTATTTCATTCCCCAACCAATGTGAGAGAATGTTTTATTTGCTAATTAATTTATTTCTAAAATAAATTAATAAGTAAATGTAATCACAATTCGACAAGTGTCAAAGGGAGAGAGAGCATTAGGTGAGGACCATGGAGAGGTGGGGGGACCAATGCCTTGCTCCCCAAGGCTTTCCCAAAGCCTTGGTCCCCACTCTCCTCACAAACCACCTCAAGCAAGCTGCTGGGCTGGCAGCCAGCTGGCACTGCCAGCATGCGCAGACTAGCTAGCACCAGCCCACCAGCAGCCTTCGCATCCCAGCTAGGCAGTGCTGCTTGGTGCTGGGCGATGCTTGGCGCTGGTGCGTGCTGGCGCTGCTGCTGCCCCTGGCATCCCTCGCACCACACGCATCCATGCTTCACCCTTCGCACATGCTCGCACACCCAGCATGCGTGCTGCTAGCGAGCCACGCATGCTGGCCCCTTTTGCTTCGCACACCACGCACACACACCTTTGCAGCATCTCCCTCGCACCATTGCTAGCGTAGCTCAGCATGCGTGATGCTAGCGAGCCACGCATGCTGGCCCCTGCCTTGCCAGCCATGCGCGCCAGCCTCGCACACCCTCGCATGCTGCTGCTGCTGCGATGCCCTCCACGCACATGCACACCCACACAAGGCTTGCCATGGTGTTGTGCTTGTGCGTGGTGCTTGCGATGGTGCCTAGCACCCAAGCACGCATGCTGCGATGCAGTGCCATGCGAAGGCATGCATGTGCGCAGGCATGCTTGTTGCGATGGTGTGCTATGGTGCTTGCGATAGATGCCTTGCGCACCCGGGCACCCAGGCTAGCACGCTGCTAGCTTGCGATGGGCTGCCTGGTGCTTGTGGTGCTTGCGATAGCAGTTATGCGCACCCAGGCACCCATGCTAGCATGCTGCTAGCTTGCGATGGGCTGCCAGGGCGCACCTAGGCTGTTATAGTGCCTAGCACACCATGGTGCGCCTAGGCTTGTGATGAGCTAGCCTAGCCTAGCTATGGCTACGCTCATATTTGTCGATTGTGATTTTGCGACGCTCGGTCTCGACGCCCTAGGCTCGATGTCCGACGTCTGTATTCGTAAAACTCTGTCAACTCATTAAATCCTTTCGGATTAATTCGTCGTCTCGGATCGGTGATTCGATTGGGTTCGACCCGAAGGGTTCAGTTAAGATTAAGCTGTAATATCAATTGTACCTCGATATTACTGATCGGAAGCGGCCTCCACCTAGGCATTCCGATCACTTGACCTTACTGAAGAGTTAGCTCTGTAATAATTCTGAACCCTCTATCGGAAGAATACACTTGTTGGAAGGACACCATTCCTTTCAAGTATGTTGGGAACTTGAAAATCCATCATATAACCATGATTTAAAGCTATTCAAAGTTAAAGTTAAAATCTGAAATTTCAGTTTAGCAGCAAAATATAGGGATACATATATCCAAACTTGAAGTATATGATTAAAATTCAATTACATTCATAAATACCCAATTAAACTTTCAAATTTCACAACTTAAACCTTAATATATATATAATTTAAAATCTGAAATTTAGTTTATAATCAAGGTAATTAAGTTTAAACATAATTTTATACATACTATAATCAAATAATTTAATCCTCCTGTCTTGAACCCAAAATTCATCTTTCTTTAAAGTCTAAAAATTATTATACTCATCAAAAATTAAGGTTAGGATCTTAATTAAACACAAGGTAAGTACTTAAATCATTCATTCATGTTTATAACCCCCAAATCATGAAAATCAATATTTAAAACCCAAAATCAGATTTTCTGAAAATCTGAAATTTGTTTACAATCATCAAAATTTAAAGATAGAACCATGTTTAAATATAAAGTAATTAGGTAATTCAATTATTCATGGTTTAAGCCCAAAATTTGCGAAATTCACGAAGAATTAAACCCTAATTTCGTAGCTAATAAAATCTGAAATTATTCACATGCTTAGTATATCATAAACTCAACAAATTCGCAACATAACTCAATAAATTTGCAATATTTATCATGTATATGCATAATCAAATCAAAAAAAAATTATATAAAGATTAAATTTTTAAAGAAATTAAACAAGAAAAGAGGAAGATAGAAGAGAAGGGGAGTAATAAGGAGAAGCAGTTAGGAGGGTTTTTGGGAGGGGTTTACTTAATTAAAAAAAGAATGAGGAGGAATAAGGTAAGTTTACTTAATTAAGAATAAAAAATATGGCTTAAAGATTTTTC